TCTGTTGCTTTCCAATGGTGGAGGCTATTGGGTGGTATTTATCTTAAGTGCTTCTTCAGACAAATAAATGGTTTGGCACTATTTTTTTCAAACCTTATATTTCCTTAACAGTTTGCAAACCCAATGTTGTGTAGTTTAGTCAGATGAATATTAGTGTGCATGTGTGTTGTGTTGATAACCTCTGAGAAAAATAGTTGAGTTCAATTAGCATTCTGGTCTTTATCTTCATGTCTTGTTCCATTAAGCAGTAGCCAATACCGTTTCCATGTGATTTGGTATAGATCTTTGCATCCCCATGACTGTTTCTGTACCATTTTTGAGTTATACTTTCCATGAACTTCTCTGAATGCAGAGGACAAAATTTCTTGACAGTGGGGTCTTAGGCCAGGGACCATAATTGAGTGACAATAGGAGAAAAAAAAATCCTACATTCCTACCCCTCCCCTGCTTTCAAAACTAAGTTCTACTAATATCAGAGAGGGATAAATGGCTTTCCAGCATAAGAGAATGATTTGGTGTGGCTTGGCTTGGCTCGCTTTAGTTTAATGGGAAGTGGCAGTTGAATACATGATATATCACTTGCCTTCTGGGGTTCAGTACTCAGTTCAGTACTCAGAGGTCCATATCAAATACTGATGCTGGTCTTTGACTTCCTGCTTTCTGTTTTTCTAATTACTGTATTATAGTAAATATTAGTAGTACACCATGTGAGTACAGGTAGTCCTCACTTAATGATCACAATTGGGATTGGCAGCTCTGGACATCATGGGACTGTGACTTGCATTTTTACTGCTGGCTTCTCCTTTGATTCTGCTTGTTGGAAGATGGCTGTGAAGCATGCAAATGGTGATCACATGATTTGCAAAGTGGCTGAATCTTGATTACATGACACTGGGATACTGGGACAGTTGTAAGTGTGAAGACCAGTCATAAAGTTACTTTTTCGGCACCATCGTAACTTTGATCAATCACTAAACAGGGCAGTTGTTAGGCGAGGACTACCTGTATTCAAAAGGGTATAGCTACACAACAAAATGGCATATATTTATACAAGTTTAACTGTAGTGGCTTCCTGTAATAGTTCTGGGAAGTATAACTTGTTGATGGCATGGAATATTCTCAAACAGAGGCCATGCCTTATCCCCCTACAGAAAATAAAATTAAATAGAAATGCATTCTGTAAATACCAACAACAAGGTCCTTTTCTGAATATGGGTTTTTGGAGATAGAAGGGTTGTAAAAATTCCATGTTTTGTGAAAAGTCCAAAGTTTACAGAAGTACAAAAAGGGCAGAACCTGCCTAATGACTTCAGAATTCTGACAAATGTGTGAGTTAGTTCTCTCACAGTTAAAAAAAAAAATGATAGCAAATCTGATGGCTTCAGTTATAAGGTCAACAAGTCAGCCTGGTCAAAAGAGGGACCCAAGTAGTTCTTTATGAAGGGCAAGAAGAAGAAAGATACTCAGAGATGTTGCATACTTAGAGAGAGAGAGAGAGCAAGCTTGTTCATGAAACACAGCAGAAATTGGGTTATGGCTTCTTACTTTCTTCAGTACATATTATGTATCTGTAAGTACTTGTATTTCTGGTGGTGCATTCCTACCTGTGGAGTGAACTATGGCATTGGGAAATAGAAAAAAATAATACCAGTGGTGTAGGGCAGTGTTCCTCAACCTTGGCAGCTTGAAGATATGTGGACTTCAAGCAGCCAAGGTTGAGGAACACTGGTGTAGGGGAATGGATAAACCTGGAAGAGGGCAAAGCTGTCCTTATAGAATCTTAAATCAGAGCACTCTGCTTTGCAAAGTACTATGGCAGGTTCCATTTGCTATTTTTTATTGCAAACTTTATTATATTCCTTGTTAAATAAACTAATAAAATTGCATATGTTGGTGCTTTCTGGAAAGAGGAGATTACTAGAAAACCAACTGAGATTGGCTGTGTAATTGGACACAAACTCATCCTCAGATCACTGCAGGAGCTTAAAAGAATTACACACTAACCAAATGGACTTAACACACAGGGATCTGTTCACCGTTCTGTTTACATAATATATTGTATTTTGGTTGCATTAGGTTATTTGTACTACTAACAGAATGTTATTAAAAATATCACACATGAAAAAGGAGCCCTGAGATTCATTACTTGGATGTAATTATTTGACACAGTGTGGCATTGTCTTTTCTTGTCAGGAGCAGGGGGGAAAGTGCTAAGCCTATTGTAACATCTCTTTTGATGTTGTTATAGGATATAATGAAAGATGAGTGCTTGACTCTGAAGCTGCAACTAAAGGAGAAGGATGAACTCATTTCCCAACTTCGTGAAGAGCTTGTAAGTGACAAATAATTCTTGTTTCCTATTGGAATTCACTAGACCTGATAAGGTTATTAGCTGGGGCCAATACACAAACAAACATATAAACAAGGTTGAATATGTGCTTAAGTTACATGTCTATGTCTTCATATTAATCACTTCATCCTGATCTAGGCAGATTTCGCAACTCTCAATATCTGGGAACTTATCAGCCTCTGAAAGGGCAATTTCCTAGGTAAGGCAAAGGGGGTTGTTTGTTTTAGAAGGCTGTACTGACAGTTCCCTTTAATTGCTGATACAAGCCACAATTTTCTGTGGGTTTTGCATTGCAAATATTCTGGTGGGGTACACAACATATGCTGATTTACCATTACTGATGCTTTCTGTTGACACAATCGTTCAGCAAAGTATTCTTCCTCACTCCCAACCCATGAAATACATGAATAAACACAGCATAAATCTCAGTAGCTTTTCAGTTTTTCATACAACAATATACACTTTACACTTGCTGCTAGTAAAACTGATTAAATTAATATCTGTAAACATACTGAAATGTGGAACTGAAACAAGAACAGAAAAAATAAAACTTTCTTATCAGTTGATGTTCTGACCAACTCCCAGGTATTCTCCTTTAATTAAGAGAATGTATGTGTACTGCTGTGCAAGGCTATACCAAATACAAATGTGATGCAAGCTTTTTCAGTATGTGAGAGGGTACATTACATTACCTGCTCATTTTAATTTAGAGAGGAATCTTAGTGAATAAAATATAGAAATGAATGAATGAATGAAAGTGTGTGTACATGTAAGTATGTGTATACATACACACATACGCATATATTAAGTGCAGAAAAGGGGAAC